CCCCCCCCCCCCCCAAATACAAAATTGCTTCCTACGGTAGTGATTTATATATCAAATGGTGTCCCTATCACCTGTAAATAACATTTACATAATGTAACATTTGTGCAATATTCTCAATAGAGGGGAAGATGCATGATGCACGGATGCTTGGTGAGTCTGGCCTGTACAACAACATGAGGCAATTTGCATTCTCCAGACAAGGCGAACCAATGTGCATTTATGGTGATCCGGCCTACCCACTTCGGATGCACCTTCAAGCACCCTTTCGTCGAGAAGGCATTACCGAGGAAATGCAAGATTTCAACCGTTCCATGAGTCAAGTACGGGTGTCAGTGGAATGGCTATTTGGTGATATTGTAAATTATTTCAAATTTTTAGACTTTAAAAAGAATTTGAAAATTAAACTCAGCCAAGTCGGCAAAATGTATATAGTTGGGGCAACACCGCGGAAAAACGTGTGCGCATGCGTCAACCTTACCTGTAATAGTATTGCGAACTTAATGAGAAGCTGTTCGGAACGTTTCCGAAGGCTCAAAATGGCGGTAAAAATGAGTGACTTCATTGTGTGTCTTTACAGCCAGATTTCGAGCGCAAGAATAAACATGTCATTCTAAAAACTAGGAAACTAACATCAACATTTTTTTACATGAATTATATTTTATTCCATACTTTAAATGCCAGGACGCCTTCAATTAATGTCTAGTCTACCCATTTCCTATATTTTCTCGTTTGTTTTACTAATTTTTGACCAATTAATAAGCATGTTTTTGTTTTAGAAATTGATATTCAAATTCCCCGCCATGTTTTCATAATTTGGTGCATGCGCAGACGTTTTTCCGCGGTGTTAGTTGGGGCTCTGTTAAAGCGGCAAGGTCACCCGCTGCGCATCCGTTCTGCGCATAGATCAACTTGAAAAAGTTCACCCAACTTTTTCAAGTGTATCGAATTTTAATATGGCGTCTGCCCAGGGCGTCATGCACGGGGATTCAAGGAAAATGCTGGTCGAAAAAAGGTATTTTCGAACCGAAACGAGTACAGAAATTTATGGGAGAAAGAACACAGAAGGATTTATTAAAGTACGTGGCAAGAGGCCAAAATAAGGGCTGGATATGGACATTCAAGTGACACTAACTTTGCTGCACATCTGTTGTCATTGGAATTTCGCCGCAGGTGGGTTTACAATATGATTTTCAATATATTTTGAAGAGTAAACGAAACTAATCTGCAATTTATTTTGCTTGGATATTTAGGGGAATCAGTGTCTGCAAAAATACTGCCAAACAGCGACGAAATTCAAGCACATCGATTCTGGTGGCAACTGAGTCCTGTCTTGACAACGGAAGTAGAACACAATGAGTCTCATATGGTTTGAATAACAAGCAAACATCAGCCAAGGTATGAAGATGACATTCACTTTTATATAGGATGTGCTATCTAATGGAAGTAATATTAATATTCAGTTTTAAAATACGATTTTGCAACGTATATAGACAAAGAAAAATTGTATCAAAAATTAGAAAAAGAATTGGTTTATATTTACTGTATATAATTTACAGCATTGACCACAGGTATTAGTGCTGTATAATATTCATATTTCCTGCTTTCAGAACCCCAAACATCTACACCATTAAAAATAAAGGTCAAATGACAAACCCTTTCTCATGTGTTGAGTCACCTGTACAAACTGCAAAGTCATGAGCCTTTCCAACAACAGAACGACCAGGCAGTGGGATGTGAAAAATGTGAAAGTTGAAAAAGGATTCGAGTGCATTCCAGTTCTCATTTGAAAGGTTATCCAACGAGCGACGGATCGACTGCATGATGATGGCTATATTACCCACCATGTTTCCTTAAATGCAAGCGACGCAGGCCACATTGCTCCCCATTGTTGCATATATATCACCACCAGCAAGTCCAGGGGCGGCGGAACAGGGGGGGGGGCCTAGGGGGGCTAAAGCCCCCCAGAAGTAAAAATGGGGGGGGCTTAACCCCCCAGAAAATTTGAATTTTTGGAAAAAATTTTGATAATTAGGGAAAAATGTAGGTTATTTTTTGAAAATTTAGGTATAAGGGGAAAACGGGGAAAACGAAAACACTGATTTTTGCAATAACTGATGTAACAGTGGCACATTCCAATTTTGTACAAAATTTATGCAATTTCTAATGTATATTATATAAAAAATCCTTATTATTTACTATATACATACATAAATTAGAATATAAATGATTAAAATCAAATTCCCTTTGCTTTAGAAAGTTTGCCAAAGGTTCATGAATATCATCGTTCTCTGTAACACATAATATTTATAAACTCCAGTCAAAAGTCTTATTTTGAAGACTGCACAAGAGGGGCAAACACTGCAATTCCCTTTGCCCAAATATCCATGCCGAGCCCATGTGTGAACATAATCTGTATTCCTTATTCCTCTTCTTAGGCTTCTAATTGCCAGTTTTCTCACTGTGTCTTCATCCAGTGTATGAATAAATGCCTGTGAATTTAATAATGTATTTTATAATAAAATAATGAAATGACCATCCAACAGCTTTAACAATTTCTAGCATCAAAGCAAGATAATTGGTCTTGTATAGGTTGAAGTCATGCTATTGTTTCCAACAACGAAATCGCCTGATACACTGTTCACATGCACAAGCCCCATATGCATTGCAATTAGCTTAAGGTTAAGGGGTTTGTTATTTTTATTTACTAAATAGCTATTATACAAAATGTTGGGATATTTCACTAATATAAGTATATAATTACGTGTCATTTGGCTAATATTCAGGCCATCTGAAATAGGAAAAATCAGATCAGCAACAATTTGCCATCGGCAAACAGGTCTACAGCATGTTAATCTGCCG